CAATTGGATTAGTTTCCTCAGGCAAGGGTGGGGAGGGTGGTTCTGCTGAGGGTGGGGAGATTAATTCATCAGGTGAATGAAATTCCTCAGAGCCTGAGGATTCAAGATCCTCAGCTTCCTCAGTGTTCTCCCACACATCTCCATCCCACTTGTCAGGATTCCAATCTTTTCCTACCAAGGCCCTCCCCTTTACTGCTGACACCCTTTGAGGCTGGGAATTAAATTTGCACTGTAGGTCAGCCAAACATATAATAAGGGCTCCAGCTTGATTTTCTGCAGCTTTAGCTCTCTGGCTGCTGGAGAGAAGATTCTCTTCCAGGGCACACTTGGAAACATTTAAACTGTTGATTTGAATCTGGAGCTTGTCAATTTTATCATTAATCTAATTGTTTATCTTCATTACTTTATCCAGAGATGCTAGAAGTAACCAGCCAGCATCACTATTTTTCTTATTTTTCCACAAATTTTCAAGTGTTTTATGTATAGAATCACTAAATTCCTTATTCTTCACAAGAGATGAGTTAGAAGATTCAAAGGCATTTATCTCCATAATTGTTTCGAATAGTCTACACCATGGATTTTCAGTGCTCTCCATGCTATCTGAAGACACTGAGTTGGAGAGCCTGCTCCAGATACCAACAAGCCCATTAAAGAAACTCATTCTTTCAATTCCGTTTCTCTAGAACAACTCTTGGTACCACAATCTGTATTAGTTAGGGTTCTCCAAAGAAACAGAATCAGTAGAATGTATATATGGATTTATCAGCTTAGCTCACAAGATAGAATCTGAGTAGTCCAACGATGGCTGCACCACACTGGAGAGGCTGAGAATCCATAGTTGTTCAGTCCATGAGGCTGGATGTCTCAGTAGTCCCAATCTTGTGCCAAAGGTCTGATGAATTCCAAAAGATCAGGTAGTCATCAGTCTACAATAGCAAGACAAACTCACCAGTAAGAGAGAAGGCAAGCAGCAAAAAGCAAAAGCGTTCTCTGCCATGGCCCTTTATAAGGGCTGCCATCAGAAGGTAACACCCATATTTAGGGTGTGTCTTCCAGCTTCAGATGATCCAATTAAGAAGATCTCTCTCATTTCAGTTAATCCCAGGTCCAGTCAAGTTGACACCCACGATTAACCATCACACCTATATTCATCATATTATCCACAAAATAGAGGTGAAAATAAGGTACATTTAACCAATCAACTACTTTTCAAACACAAATGCATCTATGTATCTGTTTATACAGATTCAGCTGTTTCTTAAAAGTTATATGGTATTTTGATAAGTATTCTGAGTCATTAAAAGATACATTTTATACCTTGTTTTAGGTTTAAACAAGAATTTTTCAAGCTAAAATCGATCATCAAACAGCAAGCTGAGAAAATCGAACAACTCCAGAAAAGCCTGCCAATAAAATGTGAAACCTTCATAGGCACTCAGAATTCGGTGAGTTTTTATTCATTTCTACCACACTGCAAATTAATTATTCTTTCTTTATTTGTTGTGTATGGGAATATTGTAAGGAATATGAAAACTCAGATGGAAAGGTATCTGTTGTTTTCATAGTAATACTACCTGTTGCCACTAGTGGAAGTCCTCTCACTTCATACAAGTTGGCTGGATGCATGCATATGATTAATGATGCTGGTAGTCAAAGTTTAATGGAAACATTGCAGTTGTTCACTTAAACCAATGTTTTAAATATTCTGCTCTGTCGTTTATCTGTTTATCAGTTGATAAAAACTTGGATTTTTCACCTTCTTTTATTCTGACAAATTCATACATGAATATCTGAGTCTTGTTCTATTTGATAAATCTTTGATTCTTTCAAGAAATTTAATGATTTGCTCTCCATTTCTGAATTTACCTTGCCCTCTGAACCTGTCAGTGCATTTGTGGAACTTATATAGTTCCGGAGACTTAAAGATGGGCACCACTGTTTATCATCCTTTCCTAAGTGATATGCTGTTTTCTTTTGGGATTCTAAAAATGAATTAGACGTTATTGAAAAGGAGGAATGGCTGCTTGCTTAAGACTTTAATAGAAAACTAGTGTCCCTAGTATTACAGATTCAGAGATTATTTTTAGGACTTACTTATTTTTATGTTTGTGTGTTTGTGTGTGGGTATGTGCATGGGAGTGAATCTACCTGGGAAGGTCAGTACAGGGCATCAGATCCACTAGAACGTTTAGATGTAGGTGGAGGGACCCACACTGGGGACCTCTACAAGAGGAGCAAGTGCTCTTAACCATGGAGCCACCTCTCCAGCCCTTAACCTCTTTCTCTTTATAGAGGATTTACTAACAGTCATGCACTTAGACTATGTCTTCCCTGTAGCACCCAAGATCTGATCATACTGTTATTGACTCACCTTAGTGTCAGTGTTAAATTTACACTAACTCTTTTGGCCTGGAGTCGAATTGGACATTGTTTCCATCACATCAGAGCATAGTACATCAGCTGCTTCTTTCATTATTTTTATTTTTCAGGCAAATGTAACATACTTTTTTTCAGTTTATTATTTATTTAATAACCATATACTTAGAAGAAGCATTTCATTACAACAACATTGACATATTCAATAACAATATTCTGAGCTAAGATGCATCTCTTTCAGAATTGGCTGTAAATTTTTGGGTTTACAGTTGAATTAATACAGTTATACAATATTGTACTCATTATAAACCCTATAAGACATAAAATTGAATGAGAATTTAAACATTTTGAAAAGATCTCCATTTCATTATTAAAATATAATCTTTCATAAGAAAAACTCATTTTTTTGGTCTCTTTTTTTTGAGACAGGGTCTCCCTGTAGCCGCAGCTGTCCTCAAACTCACTATGTAATTCAGCCAGGCTGGCCTTGAACTCACAGAGATCTGCCTGCCTCTGCCTCCCAAGTGCTGGGCCTACAGGCATGTGCCACTATGCCCTGCTAGAAAAACTCATTTTTAATGCAACCTATAAGACATAAAATTAAATGAGGTTTTAAACTTTAAAAAAGATCTCCATTTCATTATTAAAATAAAGTTTCATACAGAAAAATTCATTTTTAGTACAATTGACACTAAGATGCACATGCATTTCTAATCTCTATATATCTGATTATTACTAGTCACAATCAGTTACTTTCTGTGATCCTTGGCACCTGAGTCATCGGGTAGATTTCAATGGAAATGTTTTTCACATCTACTAATTAACATGAAGGAAATTTTTATGCTTCATCCTCAAATATAACTCATTTTTTTAAATTTATTGATTTTTTTTTTGTATTTCATACAGAACATCCCAAACAATCTTATTCATCTATATACCGACATCCCAAGTGACACCCTCCCATGCCCCCCCACTGGAACCCACATACTCTGTCATCTCTCTTACTGTCCACTGTGTCGTCAGTGCCCCCAGTCCTCCCCCAGTACTTTTCTATCCACTGAGTCTGGTCATCCTATCTACAGTTCCTTGTTTTAGGAAGATCAGCTCTTCCTCATCTAGCAGCAAGCTGTTGCCAATATTCAGTGTTTTGAAAATCCACCTAGCATGCCCTCGCAGTATCTTTAAAGCCCTTGAATATATTTTTCTGAGTCCAGAGTATGCCATTGCCTTCTTGAATTACACTATTCACTGTTAAAACATTTGAATTGATTCTGTAGTTCTTTAATATACTTGATTACACTGGTACTGTTAGGATCTAGCAGCAAGCTGTTGCCAATATTCAGTGTTTTGAAAATCCACCTAGCATGCCCTCGCAGTATCTTTAAAGCCCTTGAATATATTTTTCTGAGTCCAGAGTATGCCATTGCCTTCTTGAATTACACTATTCACTGTTAAAACATTTGAATTGATTCTGTAGTTCTTTAATATATTTGATTACACTGGTACTGTTAGGCTTATTCAGCTTGGCAGTGAAGTGCTTGCTACCATGTACCAGAACCTTTGTTTGAAACTCAGGAACACACACACATGCACACCATAAAGAATTAGACATTTTTTTTCTAATTCAAATTATATGCACCATCTTTTCCACATTTATTTTTCTAGTTGAATCGTTGACAACAGAAATACAGTGCGTCGTTATTTGTATTATGATATTTAAAATTACATGCTTTCCATTTCAAAGGAGCCTAAACTGACCACCTAGGTCCTGGGGTGTACCCACCAGCACCAGCTAGGCATAGTGGTGCTGAGAGTCCTTCATCCAGGGAAACCTGGTGCAGCCAGAAAGGGGGAGCCCTCTCGCTGGCCACATAAGCCACATTCATGTGGAAGATCGTGCAAAACACATCCTAAACTACTGCTGATGGTTGGCACCTGAAAGCCCTGCTTTTGCTGGTCTCACCTGAAAGTCTGTTCCATTCCCTGGCCAGCAATGGGGACTGCCCAGTCTGCTCCTCCTCCTCCTCCTCCTATGAGGCTGACCACCTGGTCCCAGACCTGGGCTTTGCTTCCCTGGGTGCCTTTCTGTTGCCTTCTAATGCTGGAACTTGAGCTCTGCTTATCTGTTCTGTACACCCAGGTGCCCACGCTGACCAGAGAGCTTTAGCACGGACAATGCCCTGGAGAGGGGGTAGCTCTCCAAACCCCAGTGCCCTGCCTCCACCTCACCAGAGGCTATTTCTTGTCCCTTAGGCCTAGCAACTGGTACACAGAGTTGGGGCTAGTGGTGGGGTCTGGGCCCTGGACTCAGGCCTCCTTTTGCCAGTGGCCACATCTGGCACATCCTTTTCCTGCCTCCTTCCTCCTGCCACAGGAGATGTGCAAGGGCAGGTGGTGAGGGTTGCCTCCTCTTTTTCCTCCAAAAGCTTAATTAACTAAATAAAATAAAAATACATTCTTTCCTTTTACTTCCTTTTAGACACAAGGAGTGGGTCAAGAAAACCATGATAACTCAAGAGAAAAATTCTACTGCTTCACAGATGGGTCATTTGGAACTCAGACTTCAAAGTCAAGTATCTGTAGCCTCACAAATTAAGGTTTTTGTGCAGGAAAACTCTAACAGAATCAATCTGGAAGGAACGAGAATTGGAGGATCATTACAAAATTTGAGGGAGTAAGTCAAGTCAAAGAATCATGGAACACAAATTTAGCAGCTTAATCATTTGTCTCAAAAGATGAATTTTTATTGAAATGGTTCATATTAGTAGGATGTGAAAGCTAGCTAGAAAATACTCTTGGGAAACTATGATGGCAAATGAACTGAGTTTTAAGAGGCTAGTCCAGAGTGGTAGTTCCCTTTATTGCTGTAGGTATCGGTGTTTTGATTTTTTTTCTATAGTGTTCTCACATTCATCACAATTTCTTAGATTTTTTTTCATTAGATTTGTTGATGCTTTCTAATTAAGACAGGGAGAACTACAAATTTTCTTGCCAATAGTCCCAAAATTAGAGACATTAAATGCTTGAATAACATAATTCTGGAATACTATACAGAAAGGGTCAAGTACAATGAACATGACTGCTCTGGACGTGTTCCACCGATGGACAACTTGCCTTGACTGTGAACTTTAGTGTTTTCACCAGTGAATACCCAGACACAAAGTGTTGTGTTTTATTTATTTATTTATTTATTTATTTTTCTTGTCTACATAAAGGCATATCTGTAATAAAGGAAAACATTAACAGCAGATGAAGTAAATATTTCATGTTGTGGCTCAAATAATTTCTTCTTTGGTGTGAGGTGATGTGTGGAGGACAGAAAGGCAAATCCTCTGCCTACTGAGTTGACTAGAATAAGATGAGCTGATTGTCTTGGAGCAGCTTTATTTCTTCCTGGTACTGATGACTGTCTGCAGGGTGTACTGGGCAAGTTCTCTACTTTTGAGCTACACCCACAGCTCTTTTTTCAAGACCTTCACAGTGACAATACCAGTTGACATGCCAATGCAGATGGGGAAAAGTTCACAAGGTCTCACTTCTAGATAAAGAGCTGCAGATGATAAGTAGCTACTGAAAGAGGGAGAGACATATTTCATCATGTAGCCAAGCTGGCCTTGGACTTGGGATCATCCTGCTCCTATAGGCCTTTGCCAGCTGAGATGACAAGAGTGTACCTCTACTTCCAGCTGCTTTAGTTAACTTCTGATCACAAACTCAGCTACCTGCTTCTTTCCAGGGGCAGCCGCTCAAAATTATTCAGGGGTGAGGAGTGCTTTGTGCCATCCATGGACTACTCAGTTTAAATGTTTGCAAATGCATTCCAAAGAATTCTTTAAAGTCACTAAGCTGGTTGAATGTATAGAAATGTTTCTGTTAATCAAGTACAGTGACATCTGCCATCTTATGTGGCTCACATTTGAATGCATGCATTTCTAAAGCAGTCTCAAAAATCTTAAGTCAGCAGTTTTACCTGTTAAGCCATAGACTAATGATAGTCCTTTTCATTTTCCCATATTTTTATTTGTTCTCACAATTTGTATAGATATAAATAATTCCAGAGCAATTCTAAAGCTATGTTAGGTACACTCCAACATGTCTTTCAGTGCTAACTCACCATTTCATAGGATAGTCCATTTACTCTTGAATGAATGTTTTGATATGTATGACATCTAGATGTTATTTCATGAAAAGTGAGATACCCTTTGCCCTTCACACTCTTCACAGGAGTAATGGTGAGCTGAGAGATGTCTATACCCAAATTTGGACAGTGATGGTGCAGTGCAGAACACTGTTACTGAATAACAGGCTTGCCCCTGAGTGCCATTGTGTTACACATTTTTTTAGAGCTTTGGCACACCACAGATGTTTCCTTTCCCAAGACAGTGTTAGGATTCCTGCTTCAGGCTCACAATCTTTGAATGGGTGCCCAACAGTGGGCTTTAGAGGAGTGAGTTCTGTTATCTTTCCTCTGAGCAGCAGCTCTCTAATCTGTGTTTTTGATATGGAAACTACTGGATTGCTTAGTTTTTTAAAGATTTTGTATAGGGTTGGGGTACCAAGCCCTTGTAGTGGTCTGAAGACACTTTGTGAGTTCATAGTTGCCTTTAACCCCTTACCCACTGAGTCATCTGCCTGGCACTGTTTAGTGATTTTAAAGACAATTGGTTAACAGAAAATGAAAACAGAATCTCCTGGAAGAATGCTTACTGCTATTATCATGTTTCTTCAATTCATCTTCAGTTGCAGATAAAATATATAATCAGAAACAGTTATTTTCCAGGAGGGAATATGTGCCTAGGTCATCTTCAGACATTATTTAAACATGGTCATGATATTAATAAATTTAATGGACATTCATAAGTATAAATTCTTTATTTTGTTATATAAATTTTAGCAATGTGAAAAGATGCAAACATAAGTCAAACTGAGTTGTTTTAGGCAAACCCATCACCTTTCAGTTGTGTTCTTATCTGCCTAACCGTATTATTCATGAACCTGTATGAATTACATGACTTTTTTTTTTGGCCTTTTTGAGACAGGGTCTCGCTGTAGCCCCAGCTGTCCTGGAACTCACTATGTAGACCAGGCTGGCCTTGAACTCACAAAGTTCTGCCTGCCTCTGCCTCCCAAGTTCTGGAATTAAAGGCTTGTGCCACCACACCCGGCTGAATTACATGGCCTTTTGAGACAGGGTCTCCCTGTAGCCCCACGAAGCCTGGAATACACCATGTAGATTAGGCTCACCTCAATCTTACATATATCAGCCTGCCTCTGCCACCCAATTCTGGGATTAAAGGCATTTGCCACCATGCCTGGCAGAAAAATCACTTGAGCAAGAGCAATTTCTGTATATTTAAAATTAATTTTCTAAAATCTTTTCAATGTCTGAAGATGAGAGATATTTAATTAAAAAAATCATCAAGCTAACTCAGTCTCTAAAATCTGATCAGAATGAAGTGAAGAAGAGCTGTGTTGAATTAGGAAAAGAACAAGCACAGTAAGATTTTCATGTTTCATATCTGTTCAAACATTCATTAAGTTTTAGCTGTACTTGTAATAAAAAAGAAAGGAAGAATTACTTTTATATTTTATTTTCTTACTTAAATTATAGTATGCTAAATGCAATGCACAATCTGAAATCTCTTTGAGTATCCAAATATTACATCCAAATATATTATCTTTGAATATGCAAATATATCACCTTTGATGATGTTGAAAACAATAGCAGTGATGCCTATAACATGTTCTGCCTTTCACACTTTTCATCAAGCCTGCCTGTAGGTTCATTCTGAAGGTATTTCACTCCTTCTTTCTTTTGGTATTTTCTCTTTCTTTGGCATTCCATTCTCACATAGTTTTGTTTATATTTTCTTTCTCTTTTTTATTTACAGAATGCATCATTGGGCCATATGCATTTTTCTAGTGTCTCTCATATGTACCTGAGACATACATGCTATTACTCTTCTAATATATGTCTAGATCTATCTGTCCATCTCAATGTATCTATCATTCTGCCTATTAGTCTGCATATGTTTGTGTTTATTCATTTGGTTGAGGTGTGTGAGCTATGACTCTATGTACGAGACCTCTCTCATGCAGTAAAATGCAATTGTTACTAAAGGAGTTGGAATAAATTCTTCTTTGTGTTTTTTAACCATATATTCTATTGCTTGAGTATAAAGCAAAGAGCTTTTGGCCCTGTGAGAAATTAAGGAAACCACTTTTCATGGAAGATTTCCTGATGATGTAATGCAGTGTTTGGTTATCCCCAAAGAAAGGAAAAGAAACTACGCCCAAAGCTCTTCAAAGGGAAAATAGTAAGTTTAATAAACTTCACCCAGGGGGTCTCAAGTGGACAGGGATCAAAGGAAGCAAGAAGCCAAAACAAGGCACCCAAGAGAAAACCTCTAGTCTCAATTAAGGGAGGTTGTCAGTTTTCTTTGCAACATTCATTTGTGGAAATATAATGCAAATATCACTCTTAATGCCTCTGCCCTCATCTTGAATCAATGACCGAAAACATGTACAAAAGATTTTGGGTTTTGAAATCTCTGGAGTTTACAAATATGAAAATTTCTACAATATTCCTACTTGGTTTTTAAAACATTACTTTCCCAGAAGAAAGCAGGTGTAGTAGGTAAGGAATGGTTCTTATACACATATTATATACAGTCAGCCATTCGTTGATGTCTTGAGCAGTGTGATCCCAGAATGCCCTTGCAGAAACCAGAATCCATATGCATTGCTTGCTCCTTTTTATTTCTGCAACCAGCTACCTAATAGAAGTGAATTAAGGGACGATTTATTTTGTCTCACAGTTTGAGAAGATAGAGCTCATCTTGCTGTGGAAGGCATGGTGGAGGGTAGAACCATGTATAGCAGCATAACCTGGCTGCTCCATTTTTTTTTACATCTGAACAGACCAGGAAGCAGAGAATCCAAGAAGTGAGATCAAGTTATAACTGTAGCCCTGCCCCTGTAGGCTTACATGTGAAGCCAAGCCAGTGTCCATGGAGTTCCACAATCTCTGAAAACAGCACACTGTGTAGAGACCAAGTCTTGACACTCATGAGTCTCTGGGAACATTTCTTCACAAACCAAGCCATAACACTTTGGACTTCCAAGCCCCTTAAATAAAATGGTATATACTATTTGCCCAAACTGAAAGAATCAAATGGATCATGATGTTTCTACTCCCAATGGAAAACTGAAAAGATTTTCATTGTCTTTGAACATCCATCATGGCTGTGTATGTGCATGGTTATGTTTCTCTTCCATTTTCTCACACTGTGCAAGCACAGGCTTCTTAGTTTCATCTCAAAAGTCATCAACCTTGGGGCTGGATGACTCAGCAATTAAGAGCAGTGGCTGCTCTTGCAGAGGACCTGGGTGTGATTCCCAGAATCCACATGGCAGCTAACAACTATCTGTAACTCTAGTTCCAGGGAAATCCAACGCTGTCTTCTGACCTCTGTGGGTATTGCACGACACAGGTGCACTTACATATATGCAGGGAATATACTCATACACACAAAATGAAAATACATAAATAGAATATTTTTTAAAAAGAAAGTCATCAATTTTTATCTCTTAGATTTCTACTGATTTCTTTTCTTCTAAAGCTCTGCCTATATTATTTCCCATTTGCACACATCTTGAAAGATGATTTCCTGCCTTGTTTTTCTCTGTTTTGAATGATTCCATTGATATTTTGTCTTGGATTGTATTTTAGTACTGGGA